AAATATTCTCCTCATTCTTTCCTCCACAATAATTTTTTTCATCGCCTACATTCCGCAGATTTTAAATTTAAATCGTTTTTAAAATTTAACACGTAATATTATAATAAATATACATATTACAATAACACGCGATACAAGTAATTGTCCACGGTACCATTTATTGGGCAACGCAATATTGCCATAAAACGTCACACGACGGCCGCAATAACTGTAACCAACCAATGAAACTTCATCCGTTCACGAACACTTGCGAAACTTTTGCACATACGCACATACATATATCGTACATATATATATATATAAATACATATACACGATCAAACGCGTGTGCAACTACCCACCCACGCACAGAAATTCGAATCGTGGAAACGTCGTATACGAAAGTTGGCTAATTTCACGCGGACGCGTTCACAGCAATGGCGGACGATTCACCGCCATGATAGAATTCGAAATCACGCACGCAGGGAGAATCCCTGACGAAGAGGCCAATCATAATCGCTTCGACCTATACCGAATACAGATCAGCCATGCAGAGCTGTTCGCTCGACTCTCCTTCGAGTTTTCCTTCTTTCGAAAAATGGACTTTTTTTCTTTCTTTGAAAATTAATCCAACTAGATCGCTCGTCACGAGGATGTAGGAGTGGATGTACGTGCACGAGAGCGGAAATCTAACTTCGCCTCGGGCCTCGAACGGATTTCGTAGATTTGTGGAGAGCAATTTTAATTTATCGTTGTAATTTTTATAAACTCCAAGATATAAATTGCAACCTTGCGAAATTCGTATTGATTCGTTCGAAAATGCGTTCGAGGAATTTTCCTTCGTCGATCGTGATCCAAAGGGGAAAATAAGTGACGCTAATTTGCGTTTCATTGAAATAATTGTAGTTTCATTGAAGTAAGCTAAGAATAGCAAAGATGTGAAACTGCAACCTTGAAATTATACGTTATGTTTTCAACGAAAATATAATAAAAAAATAATAAGACAATTATTTTATTCCTCGTTGCACATTTTTCTATAGAATCCAAGATGAAAAAAAGATATTGTTAAATCAAACGTGACAGGATCCTCGCTAAGTCGAGAGCCTCGTTAATTTATATCAAACGAAACCCACGAAGATCGCCCCCGGAAACCTTGCACTCCAATCTCGGAGGAAATCGATTTCCATTTGTCGCCGCATTCTTCAACACCGTTACCAACTTCTTCCATGAATTTATCAAGACCGTATCTCACCGAGAAACCAGTAAAACGTCTCTTAATTATCGATAATTCCCAAACTTTCCAATTATATCCTTCCAACCATATAATTTGCCCAAACTTTTAAAATTATTACATCTCACCGATTTATTCCTCGCAAAAATTACTACGTTAAATAATCGCAATTACGTTTAACAATTTACAAGTATATTTTTTTTTTCTCCTAATCTTTTTTCATATTTCAACACTGATTTAAAAATTTTCGCATCCAAAAAATAATAATCTCCTCTCCACGTTTTCCACCGTCCTTCCTCGTCGCAGAAAAAAAGAGAAAAATAAAAAAAAAAAAAAAAAGAAAAATTCTCGCATCCCCGTTTACCGTTCGAATAATCAAATCTGGGCGAATCACAATTACATTGACTTTCCGTGATTTAATCGGTGATCAATCGGTCGCGAGCGTGGCCGGGCAAGGAGGCCACCGGCGATCGAACCAATCAGACGAGCGGGAACGTTCCAACTCTTAATTGCTCGTAATTGCATTCTTTTTTTCTTTTTCATCCGTTTCGATGCGGTGGATGGACACAAGCCTGGACAGATTTCATATTCGTATGTAACACACGTGAAGAGGGAGATAAAGGGAGGTGAGTGGACACATCGATTTTCAATTATGGTTTATATTCCGTGGTATCGTCGCATTGGCGAGAGGTATTATTTTGAATTAACGTGCCGCATTGCGACTTTAGACCCCGTGTATTCTCTCTGCGGATGTCTCATGATCGGAAGTTTAAACCGCCTTGTTTTATTGGGCCCGGGGAAATAATTTCGTTTACGGGGGAATTCGTTTGGAAAAGAAAAAAAAAAAAAAAAAATAATAGAAGTTACAATTAAAAAAAGAGAGATTGGGAACAATTTAGAATTAATTCGATTCGAGGTTAATTAAAACTCGAATTCCGAATCTGTTTGAACGAATTTATTCAAAATTTAGAAGGGAACGGAATCGATGCTCGTAAAATATTAAACTCGATCGAAAGTTAAGTCAACACGTCCCCTTTAATACCAAATAATCGAGTAATCAAATACCTGTACACGTGTCACTCTTGAAATTTTTATTAGATAAAAATTACCAAATACGAGTCTCCTCAAATTATTAATCGTATTCAATTTTCATAGTTTTTCCTTCTCGTTTACAACAGCATATTCGTACGATGATATCTTTATAATTTCGAAGATACTGTCTACAAAAATAACTGCAACATATACATATATATATATATATACGCATAAAAATTTTCACGCTAATATTATTTCCAAAGATATCCCCCCTTCCCCCACCTCGTGAGGATAACGAGATATTCACGTAACATTTTCACGGTTGAACGGCGGGGCGGATCGATTCCCGGGTGTGTATACCTGCGGAATACCTAAACAGATAGGAGAGAAGAGCGGCCAGCCACCGTTTCCACGCGCCGGCGAAACGAATTCACCTGGCCTGGCTCTCCGTTTTAAACCATCCCTCCAATCACAAAAACCTGTTCCGTGTTTCCCTAACGTAACGAGAAAGGTTCTTATCGCGGCTGCCTATAAAGCGACGCGGTTCGTTACAGTATTTCGCGCGCAGTAACCTTTCTCTCTCTCTCTCTCTCTCTTCTCCCCTCCCCTCGCTTTCCTGCCTCGCCAAAAAGAGCAATTTCTCGCGCCCTTTTGATTCCGTTGCTTTATACTCTTTCTCTTTCTCTCTCTCTCTCTTTCTCTCTTATTCGAAACGGACCAACTACGATTTTCAGAACCGTATACACGTATACGCGGATACTGTACAGTCTCGTCGGTAAGTAAGAGTCGATTATCAACGAGGTTTTTGTTTCGGGGAAATTATATATATTATTGGGATCGTCGATTGGAATTATTGTATATGTTATTAATGGGTAGATAGTTGTTGGATTAAGATAAATTGGACAAATGCTTTAAATTTTATTATTGTTGTTGTTGCTTGAAAAATAGAATTTTTTTTGAAGAAAAGTGAAGAAACCTGATGAAAATTATCAACTAAAAAATCAAAGAAGAATCTTGAAAATTCCTTGAAGATTCCTTGCTGATTTCGAATCGATGATTCGTTATTTTTCGAGATATACTTATGAACGAGAATGTACTTTACGCATCGCTTCACCTGTTTCCAGTTTTTCCAAACATGCGTCAAAGGAGGAAACGCGCGTCCAAAGTTAAACAAATGGATGAAACGAAAGGTGGAGAGGGAGGGAGGAAATGCATTTTCCAGAATACTTGCAATTAACGAAATGTACATGATGTTTTCTAAAAAAAAAAAAAATAAGATAAAAATCATTCCTTTCGAAAGAGCGTTCGATTAATTGTCCTTTCTTTTCTCTTTTCTTTTTATTTTAAAAAATAGTTTGGCTCAGGTCCGTGGGCACGCCACCGCCCAAAGGACTCACGGGTACCAGGGATTAAATGGAATAACCGTGTCCCCGATAACCGCAAGTCCCCCTTGCGGGAAAATTATTCTCAACAATGACGATGATGATGAAAGAAAAAGAAAAGAAAAAAAAAAGAAAAAATTAATACCAATTAAAAAATTAATATCCAAAGGATACGAAATAAAATCTTTATCTATCTTTTATTTCAACAATTCATTTTTCGAATGTACTTCAATCCGCTTGATTACCCTCTGAGAGTAAATTATTATTACAGTTAGTACCGAATAATTACCAATAGAGGGCGTCTTGCTCTACAAGAAGGAAAAAAAAAAAGTAAAATTCCACGGTAGCAAGTTTCTCGTGCCAAATTTCCTCAAGATTACATCGTTTCGCTTAAGATTAACACAGATCCCTCTTTCCCCTTTCCCCCGGAGGGATTAAAAACGCAAAAGCGAGAAACAAAAATTTCCTAATTTTCCATTCTTCTCTTAAACGGACCAAGAAATTCTCTCTCTCTTTCTCTCTCTCTCTCTCTCTCTCTCGAAACCATACGTATCTCTTTTCTCGTTTCCACGGAATATCTCGTTTCCCTTAATGAATAAATGAATCTCGATCAAGGGTAAAACTACCACTACTACACAGAAGATACAATTATACACTCCTCGACCGTTCTTCAACGAGATTCCCTTCAACAGTTTCAAACGCGTATGAATAATTCATACGGGCCACGGTCCTCTCGATCATTCTCGCCGGGATCTTCAATTTTTTCTTTTTTTTTTTTTTTTTCCCTCCTCGCCTCTTGTTATCGATCAATTGCATAATTGCACGAAAACGATCGTCGATCGCGACGGAAGGAGTGTCGCGATCCCGCAATTCGAATGCGTACGAGGGAAGAGGATGTCTTGAGAGAGAGAGAGAGAGAGAGAGAGAGAGAGAGAGAGAGAGAGAGAGAGAGAGAGAGAGAGAGAGAGAGAGAGAGAGAGAGAAGATACCATAACTCGGATCGATGCTCCACTTTCCTTGGAGAAATCTTTAGGATTTTTAGATGGTGCATCCCGAATCTCTATTATTCTATTTTCGCGATGGAAATCCGCGAGTGGACGCTGTTTGCCATTCGCTACGTGCCCTTTACTTTGCCCGGGCTCGTTGTTTGGTTTGCGGCTTTGATTAAATTTATCCCCCCTCCCCACTTGGGCTTTTTGGAATTTTCGTTTTTACCACAGGCCGGTGTTGGCAACTGATTAGATCCGGGCCAAAGGGGAGGGGAGGGTGGAAGTTGACTTGATCAAAGGTCATCTCGTTCAAACATTGATATTAGACGTGCAAATAAAAGTTCCTTTTTTTTTTCCCTAAATTCAAGATTTTATTACGTAAATTACAAGGTATGAGACTTGTATGACTCTTTTCGATTCTTCTCGCGTCTGGGCCCGATTTTCGTCGAGCGATTCCTCTGAACTTGCTCGATGCATCCGATCCTCGTCTTCCAAATTAAAATTTCCAAATTTGAATCTTTGGTATCCAGTACAAACCATTTTCTGCAAATTTCCTGCAAAACACAAAAAATAAGCATTGCTTGAAATTGTCGGACACTTCTTAAAAATGAAAGAACGCTTTTCCAGATGACGCCAAGAAAAGTAATTCGAAAAGGGGAAGAAATTTATTTGTGCATCCAATAATTCGTTTGAATTTGGATTAAAAAAAAAATAAAAATAAAAATTTCCTCTTCTCGCTATTCTTTTTTTTTTTTAGAAACTTTCCATTAGATTGCTTTTTATACGCTTTTGAAATATAGAAAAGAAAAAAAGTATCCAAAGCCGTGATACGTTTATGAACTAGATCGGATTACCTTTCCCAGGACGCGGTAATCCTGTCATATTAGGAGAACTGCATCGGGCCTAACGCCAGAATGGTTGCGGCCAGTTACGCCAGCAGCTGGGTCGTGCGAGTCGATAACAGGGAGAAGCAGGAAATGTGGATCGATAGAGGCGAGAGCCCAACCTTCTCGAATCCGTGATAGGTGATAACTGGTGCAGTCTCCGAAAAATATATATCGAACGATGGTTGATCAAGATCGATTCGAAATTAACAACGCGTTCGATCGATCGAAATCCTCGATTTATTCGAAATTTCACGAAAGTTAAATTTAAATTCCATTCCTTTGAATCGAATTTTACTGATAAATTCCTTCTATGATTCGATACCTTAATTTAAACCTAGTTATAGTAAAGGATTGATTTACCGCGTAATGGACGAATTAAAGCGCATAACGTTATCCAAATACAAAGAGAGATTTCTACCATTATTTATTCGAACAATCGGTTCGATCGAAAATCGAAGATGGAAAATTAAATTCTTCACCAATCTCCCTAGACCGTGTTGCAAATCAATCTCGAACGCGGGAGGGTATGCTTTCGGGTGTTGAGGTGTCGATGGCAAATATTTCATAATAACCGAGTTACCTGCCCTGTGCTTTGGATTGGCCGTGTTACGCGTCAACGTTTTCCCAACTTTCTTTGATCTGTTGCGGATAACAGGGCGATTCCCCCTGTCAAAGCGTGCATCGAAATGCAACGCACCCGCGCCGGTATTATGCGCTCGCATAAGAGCGCCGATATCCAGGAATAGTTGCGTATATGCAAATGGGAGAATGTATTGGTTACGTAAAACGGAACGCTTAGCGTTGTTTCGTGTCGCGTTGTTGCGTTACGTAATCGGATATTTTATTATGCAACGTGTTAAAACGTCGCTCTCGATTTTGATATTAAATTAAATTTGACCAACTAGTTTTCGATCTTTTATTCTCTTCTTTTTCTTCTTCGATTTCGATTTTTCTGAGGAATGGATTCTTTTTTCTTTTTTTTACGTCATGTTCGAAAGAAAAATTTTTTTGAAAGTATTCCCTAACGAAGATAAATTTCCTCTTATGCAAAATTTATTAGGTAGGCCATCTTGCTTGTAATAATGATCGGTAAATAAATCGAGTCGTTATATCGCTTAATTCGCCAAATTTACGATATATACATCCTCCCCCTTTCCCCTCCTCTTCTTGGTTCCGGGAGTAATTTCGATTTATGACGCGCCGATAAAGCAGAGTGCGCTAATTAACCTTCGTAAATAGTTCATAAGTACATTTTCGAAACAACACTTGGCAAGCAACCTCCCTCGATTATATTCAAAATTTCACGAATCCGTGTCCGAAATAATCGCGCGAATCCATTTACAGAATTTATGCACTTACGGTGAAATTATTTGCTCACATTTTTCGGATAAATGTGGATATTCGACGAGGATTGTCGGTCGATCGTTTCGATTTTTTGCGTGAGTGAATAATAAAGAAATATTTATATTGAGAAACACACGCACGATCGATAATATTTACAACGATATTTGCTACATGATAATATCGTTAATAGGATTCCTTTTTTTTTTTTTTTTTGAAACCATAACTGAGTTGAGTTTATATGTGTAAAGGTGCGACTTACATCGTGTTTATTTACGCGTGAGTGTTTCGATTCCGTTTTCTGAACCATATAATGAGCTTAATATGGTAGAACAAGGGTACAACACACGTAATACAGTTTATCTCTTTTATTAATATATATTCTTTCTTATCGCGTGTTCTTTTCACAACGATTAAAAAATATCGATAGTGTTTTTAAAATATAAAATTTTATCTCGATACTTTTTTCTCGATTTTTTCGAATTATCGTGCGATACACGTTAAAAATAACGGTACTCGTTCTGATATACATTATCACATAGAATCGTGTAAAATATTTTCTCAAATATTAAATTCCTTTTTCGCAAATAATCCATGCGATTATCGCGACCTCCTCTTTCTTTATTATTTCCAATTTTGCATAACGGATGACCAAATGACACGTTGCGAAAGGGCAAAAGCGAGGAAAGATAGAGAGACGCGAGCGAGGGTGGTCGAGATGGCTGAAAAGTTAGGTTCACGTGGAACGCAAATGACACACTTGCACGAGGTCTCTCTATTGTTCTCCGACATTTCGCTGTCTAGACACTTGTTACGATCGATGCCATTTACCGACAGTCCGTCCACCGTCTCCCTCCCCCTCCCCCTACCCATATTCGATATGTCTTTCTACATTTACTCGTTTTAAAGAGCTCGAATTAATATAATTGCCTCGCTCGCAAGATAGAATTAATCTCCCTTACAATTGTAACTTTTCGAATCGAAAGTATTTATTTATTCGTTTTCTTTTAATTATTAATTATACGTAATTTAAAAGGAAGAGAGTAAGAGGAACGTTTCTTCGTTAATTTAGAAAATTCGCGTAGACGGATCGAGATGGCGCGGCTAGTTGTGTGCATAGATGGATCGATCCAGAGGCGACACCTGTGACAAAAGCAACTTCGTTTCGGGCTATGGCACAAAGGATGCGTGTGAAAATTTAATCATGCATGCGTTCGCCTGTCGACACCTGGTATATACACTCGTTTAAAATTGAAGATCGAACACTTTGTCAAGCTATATACGGATTGCGGCGGTAATTGAAAGTCGCGCAACGTGAAAGAATAATCAATTTCGCTGGGAATCGAAGTTTTGTTGTAAAAATATATGAAACGATTTACGAAGAATAATAATTATTTTTTTTTTTTCTAAACGATTATTACTGAAATAAAGTTGAATAATTTGAAATTAAGATTTGTGTTTGTATTACATTTGCGTGAATATCTTCTCGATCATTCGCAACACTCTAGTTTCGTTAATATCGACATCGTGATTGTCAGAAATTACCGAAATAACTCATCTCCGTTTAACCTGTTCAATTTACCGGTCCTTCATACATTTACATGGATTTTCGTATGCAAATGGGTTAATATAGCCCTGCGATCAAAATTGATTTATGAAAGTGCTTGGTTTCATAAGGTTCTGTTATAAACTGTCAAATTTAATAATCCTCTAATTTAATTCGAAAAAAAAAAGAAAAAAAGGGGGAGGGGAGCGGAAATTGGACTCGACTCAAAATTTTTCTACCTTTTTACAAATATAATAGTAAAGTAGACAAAAACTACCATTCTACAAATTTTCCATTTGTCATTTATAAAATATATCCCAAGATAAAATATACTCACGAAACCCTTTAAAATTAAACAAACCTTCGAATGCACAAATATAAAACAATAATTCTTATTTATTAACTTAGAACGAGGAAACAACTTTCACGTGAGATGGAACGGAATGAGAATAAATCAAGAGAACGGCTCCCTTAAAGATTGAAACGATCGGGTTAACAGAGTCGTCTGTCTCGTGTACGCTCGTTTCCGTTCCGGAAGTTGCATTCGGTTCCACTCGGTAAAAGCAAACAACAGTAACCGAAGTTGATCGCCGGTGCAAGTGATGCACGCGCAATTTCGCGGCCTCGTAAAAATTTCATAAAATGGCGGAACGACACGCGCCCACGGTAATTGAAATTTTATTGCCATCCCTGTAAAAAGATCTTCTCGGGAATCCGGAAAAGAATCGGGGGCTCGAAACTCGAATCGAGAGAGCCGATTATTTCCGACTCGATGAGCATCCTTCTCTCTCTCTCTCTCTCTCTCTCTAACCTAAACTAAGTCTAAGAATATTTGAGGGAGAAAAGAATAGATAAGAAGAGGAATGGAAAAATTTTTCGTTCGAGGCTTTGTTTCTCAGTGGTCGTCTCTTTGAGAAAACGAAAATGAAGAATGGAAAATTGGGTAAAGCGTTATTTGTTATCGAGGATGAAATTTTTTTTGTCTTGTTTCTTTCCAAACAGTTAATTATTCTTTTGATTTTTAGCACTTCACATTATTACCGAATATAGAATAATTTTTCACTCTCTGGAAAGTTCTATATGTATTTGCTTATTGAGTAGAAGAATGGAACACAGATATATGTTCATTCAGAATCTCTCTATCGATAAAATTTCGCCGAATTTAGAAATTAAGCCGTGGCCAGGAGCTTAAAATGGATCTGGAAAGTCGTTTCAGAACAGTCGTTAAAAAAAAAATGTGCTTTTAGAAGTCGGAAATGGGCGAAAAAGCGGCGCGAGAGGCTGACCCCTTCTCCCCCCCCCCTCCCTCCCTCCCCCGGCAGTTATTCTCACTGAAGTTTAATTGCAAAGTAATTGCGCAGGGATGAAGATTCATGGAGGTGGAATTTCACGAGTTTAAAACAACATCATTCTTAAAAAAAACTCTTCCATTCCTTTTCTCTCGCTTGTGTGTGTATGTGTATTTTGCCAAGTTCGCTTTTCCAAGTTTCGCGATGACACTTGGTAAGGCGTGGCGGTAAACGTCGCCATAACGTTTTCCAAACATTGCGAAATATCTTAAAAATACCATTTCGTGCGCTGGAAATCTTGAATCTTTATATAATGTGTTCTTAATCATTTTGGATAAAGAAAAAGATGTATGGGATGTTTATTAAAAAATTTAAGACACCTTTGTAGAGTAGATTCTTCAAAACAAAAGTATCAATTGGAAGTTGATTCATCAAGTTGCTATAAACTTGATTGAAATAGAGACAATAGAGACAAAATATCAATTGAGAACTGACTCATCAAGTTGCAAACTTGATTGAAATAGAGACAATAGAGACAAAATATCAATTGGGAACTGACTCATCAAGTTGCTATCAACTTGATTTTGAATAGAGACAATAGAGATAAAATATCAATTGGAAGTTGATTCATCAAGTTGCTATCAACTTGATTGAAATAGAGACAATGGAGACAAAATATCAATTGGGAGCTGACTCATCAAGTTGCTATCAACTTGATTTTGAATAGAGACAATGGAGACAAAATATCAATGTTGCTATCAACTTGATTTTGAATAGAGACAATGGAGACAAAATATCAATTGGGAGCTGATTCATCAAGTTGCTATCAACTTGATTGAAATAAAGACAATGGAGACAAAATATTAATTGGGAACTAATTCATCAAATTGCAAACTTGATTGAAACAAAGCACAAGATAATAGAAACAAAATATCAATTGGAAGCTATAAATTTGATTGAAATAGAAACAATAGAGACAAAATATCAATTGGAAGCTATCAACTTGATTGAAATAGAGACAATAGAAATAAAATATCAATTGGAAGCTAATTTATCAAGTTGCTATCAACTTGATTGAAATAGAGACACTGGAGACAAAATATCAATTGAGAGTTGATTTATCAAGTCTTAAACTTGATTGAAATAGAGGCAATGAGAGACAATGAGAGAAAATATCAATTGGAAGCTGTTTTATCAAGTTGTAAAATAAATAGTTGAAATAGAGCACATTCTCCAAAGATAGTGTCCCACATTTTTACAAAAAGCCAAATCTCATATATATATAAATAACAAAATTTCAAAAAGAAAAAGAGAAGAGAAAAATTCAGATTAGTTTGGGAAACCATCAGCACAAAAGAAACTTCTACCACGCTTTTACAATCATCCAATCTACCTTCATCGTTGCATTAAAAGTTGAACGAGCGCTGAAACTCCATCAACGCAATGAAAAGTGAAACGTGTCCTTGGAGAAATTTTCGATTCTCCCTCTTCCTTTTCTTCGGGAACGTTCCTTCCAGAGATAAAAAGACATCGGTGCATCGTTACATTCGATTCTACACCGTCACAAAGGAGTAATCGGTTGAAAGAAGCGCCCCCTTTCCTTCGTCTTTCGAACGAATTCGGTTTCCCAATTCTCGCTCCGCTGCTCTCCTTTCGATCCCATTAATGCCTCGTCCAAACAGATATTTCTGTTAAAATGTTTGGAATTTAATTCTTCCCGTTAATTCAACGTATATTGTGAATATACCATGCTCTTACTCTACAGTTTGTGCAAGGTACGAAGGAGGCAGTGGTTCTTGATCGCCATACTCGTATCTAGAAGTAAAGAAATAAATTTTCGCGATATTTGTAGCAAATATATTTGTGTAACAATGTCGAATGTGAATGAAAAAGAAAGGAAGGAATTAGTAATTGTAGAAATGTATATTTAAAAAGAGTTATATTAACCTCTATCAATTTTTACGACGAAAGAAATATATATGACTGTTGGTTTATTTAAAAACGAGCGTGGTCATGAAATAAATAATAACAGCATTCTAACGGGTGTACATATTTTCCATCCATGCGAGAACACACATTTAAAATTTATTGTCTCCAATTGGGAATGCAATAGAAGGTTAAGTACTTATATAGTTAACGTGTGGCGCTAGTGTCGTTTCAACTGCAAAACAACTAAGTGGAAAAATAATTATTTTAAAATATTATATATACAATTTAATATTAATTTCTATAAAAAACGTACAAAGATTGTTCTTCAATTTGCAATTAATAACATTTAAGAGGAATCGAAAATATCCAACATCGATCTCGATTAATCTTCTTTGTAATTTTTAATAATAGAAATTGATATGAATACGATAAGAATGTGAATATTTTGATTAGGAAAAAATATTTTCAAAATTTCGTCCGGGATGAGAAGCGTTTTGGTTAAGAACCACTGATCCAGAGGGATGAATACAGAACTCATTGCATTACGAGGAGAAGTTGCAAGGTAATACCTTCTTTCTGCGCAGAGAGGAACAGTTGATTGCATTTAGTCGACGAGAGATATTTTCAGAAGCGGTTACAAATATTTGCCACGCGACTCGTTTATGTGGATGGAATAACGCGAGATGGATTTTTCTACCCTTTTCTTTTCCTTTCTTTTCTACCGTATCGAAGAGGTAATTTCTTCCTTTACATTAATTTCCTTTAAAAATTATTTTGCCGTTAAACGCGATTCACTTACGTAATTAATTATTTTGAAAAAAAAAAAAAAAGGATTGCACTACCTTTTCGTCGTGATCGAATTAATTTTTTTGAATTTTCATTTAAATGCCTGAAGGTTAAGCAGGATTAAATTGTTTTCTGATATCTGAAGAATCTTCTTTGTGCGTGTAATTAACTCTCGTTCCAATTATTCGGCTCACGGAACTCGAGCAATGCATCCCCCGGCAATTTTCCCAGTTTTAAAAAAGTTCCTGGAAATAGGAAATATTTTTTATCGAGTCACGAGAATAATTGGATTAAATCATATTTCCACGTTCGATCAAAATCTTCGCAATGTAGGGAATACTCGATGTGAAACGACTCTCCTTTCTTTCTCCTTTTTTAAAAGCAGAGGTTCTCAACCCGATTAATTTATATCTATCGTAAAAATTTCTCCTCCCAAGTTTTAAACAGAGGATTAATTCTTACTTTAAATATCTTTGCTCCAAATATAGAAACACCTCGAATAATAATTAATTTTTCTATTTCTTTTCCTCTAAAAAAAAAAAATATACACCAATTAAATTAATAAAATTGATATTGTTCTTAGAGAAATTTCTTAAGAGGGAATATCGATCAATTCTGGATATAGAAGACGATCCCTTAGTAGATAATTCGATGCAATTCACCAACATCGATTATTATAATACGTTTCATCATCGTGATAATCTGGAAGCATAATGTTTGTTGGGAATACACGTGCCTTATTACCACATCGCACGTGTTAATTTCCCGCGTTCCAATTGTTTCAATTCAAATAGAATTTGCATCGATTCTTTTTTCCCATTCTTCTCTATTCTAAAAGAAAAATAGAATAAGAATGAGAAGAAGGAAGAAAAGGAAGAAAGAGAGGCACGTGTGCGCGTGTCTCTTCCCCTGGAATGTTTCCCAGACAAAGTCTACTAAATGTTTGACTCTTGAGAGAATTCGCCCTACTAGAAAATGCAGAATGGTATTTCCTCTTTCGAGATATATCCCCTCCATTCTCCTCCGTATAAATCTTTACCAAACCCTTTCCCCTACCACGTATGAATACGTGAGAGATTTCATTCAATGAAGTCTCAATGCCCGACAAAGATATCTCTCTATTTTTATCTTGTTTTTCTGTTTCACATTTTCAAACTCGATAATAACAATTCTTCCATCTCTTCCATTTTCAGGTCAAATTCAAAATTTCTTTATCATTCCACGAGGCTTAAATCCGACTTGATCGTTTGTTTAATATGGAATTGCATAAAAGAAAATGTTGGACATTGATATAAAGATCAGAGATACATGAAAATATAAATATAAGTATAATAAAATAAAATATAAATATAAACGTGTAATTTGTGAAAAATTTATCAACTTATCGACCAAAGAAATTTGTTTTAAAACACGCAATTATTTCTAGGAAAAAAAAAAAAAAAAAAGAAAGAAAAATTTTTTCCAAGATGTTAAATCTTTTTAATCTTTATCCAAGTTATTTAACAAATTATTATTAACAAAACTTTCTCTTAAACTATAAAACAAAATTAAGAAAGCAGTTTTCTAAAATATTAATGCTGTATTTCTTCAAGTTTTTCTACCGGTTGAAAAATTCGTTATATATAAAAACAACTTTCCCTCCACTTCCATCAACGTGGTGTACAGACATTTTTAATTAAACCAGGAAAGAAGCAACGAGAACAACGTAACTTGAGAGACTTGTTAGAGCACGTCAGTCTCACCACACCTAACTCATCTGACATCTTCGTGAATCGCTATGCAGACATCTCCCCTTGGCGATCCCCACGTCCGATATAAATGGATATGCACTATTAAACAAGGTGGCTAGTGAAGGACACTGATTGCCACCTTTTCCTTCTCCAGAAACCTTCTCCACATCCGCTGAAACAAGAACGAACGTTTTACGTATTATTTCAAACCTTCACATTATCTCACAAACGTATAATATCACATCCTGTTTCATTTTCATCCTAGACTTTGAACTGAAATTAATTTTAATTTCTAAAATCTTGAAGACTTTAAAAATATGAATATATATATATCAATTATATATATGAATATATATATCAATTATAATTGAAATTCTTATACTATATTTCAGATTCTTATATTATAGTATATAATTCTTATATTTTAGTTTAGGGAAATATTTGCAAATATGTGGATGGATTGTTTGCTATCTCTTTCCTGTTTCTCACATCCTGTTTCATTTTATATCATTTGAAAAACCGTTTTAATTTAAATTAAATATTTATATATAATTATATAAATTATATAAATAATTAATTAAATTATATAAATAATTAAAATTAATTTTAATTTCTAAAATCTTGAAGACCTTAAAAATATGAATATGAATATATACCAATTAGAATTGAAATCCTCTATTTCAGATTCTTATATTATTGTATTATATAAATATAATTCTTATATTTCAGTTTAGAGAAATATTTTCAAATTATGTGGATGGATTGTCTGCTGTCTCTTTTAATGCATCGAATCTTTGACAGGGGCTAATGTGGACATTTGTGCTTTGAAACCCTTTGTGATTGAACGGAGATCTGCGGTTCCAATTACCATGAACAATGGTTATTAACTACGGTGGGACCGTCGATTATCCGAATTAATAGGCAGACAACACTTGTCCCCATAATCGGCTTTTCTTTAATCAGTCTCGAGAAACGGACGTTTATTACGTAAAATTAATCATTATTCAAGATATCGACAAATGGATATCGTTCTAAATTTATTTGTCTTCTCTTATTTTCATTAATCATCTCATTCATTGATCAATGCCTGCCTCGAAATATTTTGTGATTTAATTATTTTTGATTCCAGTAATATATTCTAAATAAATATATTCTAATATTATCGCACGCATTTTTTAATTAAATTCGAGAAAATGAAATTTTTTACTATTTCTTTCAAATATTTTACAACATCGATGTATAACTCGTTTCGTTGGAAAATGGATAAAAGAATTGAGCGAGCAGGTTGAATTCATTAATCTCTTGCCTACCTTCTGACGCCATATTTAAATGAAAAAATAAATTAGACAAAAAATGAGAATTCTGCACGAAGCAGGTGTCAACAATTTCAGGGTAAACACAATATATCATAATTTGATAAATTAATATACGAAAATTTCTATTATATTATTCAACGTGTCAATGAAAAATCAAAAGAGTCAGAAAAAAGTGTCAAATTTTCCTCAATAATGAAAAAATAAAAATAACACTTTTAATTTTTTTCAAATTAAAATTTAATTTCCTACCAAATTAACAAATTCTTCTCGTTACTTACAAAAAAAAAAAATTCCAATTTTTCCCTCGACATCGGGCAAATATCAAAAATGACGAGTCAAAGGTTAATTTTTTCCAGAAATTGTTAAATTAAAAAAGAAAAAAAAAAAAACTAACCTCACAATTCCAAGCAGTCGAATACGTTAATATAATATAAAACGATACTTAAACACACAAGGAATACGATCAATTACATGCACTTTCCACTTCATGGATCTCAGGGCTCATCATCGATCCCATGAAACCCAATATCCGCGTAATAAAAAGCTGTAGCGCGGGTTTCCCACCTTTCCTGTGAAACGTAAACCGATCCCAACACCACCGAGTCATGCTCGTCGGAACAAAGCCCGTGAATTTTTCATTTTTCCCCCTCCCTCTCCCTCCTCCTATCCCCTCCCTTTTTTTCGACACCTTGCACGCACCTTCCTCGAATCCAGCGTTCGATTTCGACTCCCGATCGTCGAGGTTTCCCCATTGTCCATTTTTGCCGATATTTTTGAAGATAAAACTGCGCCGCCAGCCTTTCGAATTTCTATAAATTGATTCTATAAAATGACGGATGACAATCTCCATTCAGGATGGATTGAAATTGTCCGTTGGAATACAAAAAAGGATATGATGTTTGGATATTGGCACCATTGGATATTGGGAAATAATTTTCGAGGTGAAATTGCTTCGTGTAAATCGGTATATACAGGAAGAATTGTAATAATTGTAAGTATAATTATAAATTATAAATGATAATAGAAATACGTATAATTGATCGTAATTTTATAGAATTCAAATTTACGAATGATACATTTGATACATTTTTTCTTTTTTTTTTTTTTTGAAACAATGAAAAAGAAGAAAAAAAGGAGATTGAATTTAAACTGAAAATTATAGATGATGTAACTATAGAATCGGATATCCGCTGAAAAGTATTTCATTTCCAGTTTAATCATAGTTATACAAAAAAAAAAAATAACTAAATAAATTTCTATAAAAAAAAATTGTACTCGATGTTATAAATAATTATTAATAATTATTATTTCCTAATAATTATTAAATATTTATAATAATTATAAATATTATTACGTTACAATAACAATTCGTGACAATGCTGAATTAATAATTCATCGAGTTATGTTCGAGATAAAGCTGAAGAAACGAAACAGATTCCAGAAGAAAATTATTGCTCCATTGGCCGGTTGAATTAAGTACATCTGTTTGTTGAAAGTATACAAAAATATAACGTTCCATTCTATTTTAACTGTGGAGCAATCGGGGAGAAGTTTGGCTATTTAAGAAGAGCGCAACAAGTGTGAAATATTTCAGACAAGCAGTCTGGAAATAAAACGAGCTTCTTTTTTCTTTCACGTACGTACAATTTTTACTGCGTTACACGTTAAACAACAGCGACACTTTTATTTATTTTAATACTTGATAATATATCGTTTAATATTCTAATGATTTTTTTTTTTCATTTTAATTGTTAATTTTGCATTTGATTAATTTTCATCCGTATTATTTTTCGTTAATATTATATTTTAATTATCTTTTCCTCCTTCCTACTTTACCAAATTAAATATTTTATTAATTTAAACATTTTTTATTTTTAATTATGAATAATTACGTTGCATCTAATGGTACGTCATTACAACAATTAAATTATCTTCATTTTCTTTCACGAAGAAATAATTCGTTAAATAAACGCACGGATACGTTTAAATTAAATCTATCCTGTATAATAATTATTCGAAATAAAAATCGAGTCGAGTAAAAAATTATTCGATAAAATAATCGAGAATATCGAACGTAAAAACGAAAAGCCTACGAAATATACGAGAATATTCGAAAAGATACAATAAAATACTCAAATAATATTCGAGGAATAAAACAAATCCTTGTTTAAGCTTCATTTCTTCCATAAAAATTCGATTTTGCATAAACCTAACGACAGATCGCATTTTTAACCTATCAAGATGCAGGAACACGATATCGTAACAATGAAACGGCGCATCACGTTAAAAGCATACGACTATATCACAGAGGATACGATTCTAAAAATTTACGACACGAGCGATTGTAAACCGATCGTTGCCAAGGATTATTATTGAAACAGTGTATCATCTTTATTAACAGATCAATACCTTGCAATTAAAACTATTAGATATTATATACTTACGATTTATTATTTACAATCAAGTTAGACACAATTGGTTTTTGATACAAAATCACATTGGCGAGAAAAAGAAAAAGTGAATGTATATACACTTAAAAAAATAAACACAACAAACGATTTACTAATGAATTTTTAAGAGTGATTTAGTTAAATGAAGTTTAAGTTAGTTAAATGAAGCATTAATGCCAACGTTTGATAATAATATTCCCAAGTACCAACCTACCAAATTAAATTTACCAATATTCTTGATTCATTTACGTTCAATTGTCGTTTTGCACAAGATACCTCAACGATTCTCATAAAAACGTTATTTTACGTATCCTCAATGGTTATTATTTGCAACTTAAATTTTGAACGAGAGACAATATCGAATTACGAATCATCCTTGTTCTTTTTTTTAATTTCCTCTTTTCCAATTTTTTCACACGTGACTCGAACGAATAAAATGAATTTTCCAATCGAAAAGACTTCTCAATCGCTACGATTGCGCGAGGTTATATCAGAAAAGCGAGAATCGATCCACCGTAAGAACGGTCGATATAGATGGCGCACAGATGGCTCCGTCTCCGCAAAATTTCATCGGATGAATTTGCATCCGAACGGATGCTCGCTAATTGCATCCATGGGATGCGTTCGAAAAAGAGGGGTGGCTCCTGGGTTTAAACCGTGCAAAGTTAAATCTGTTTGCGCTGGGACCTGGCCAATTTCGAGGCCAGTGAATGGACCTCCATGTGTAAACGTAACCCTTTGTTTCCATCGATGTTTATGGACGTTGAAATTTTCAGCAAACGTTTCTATCCATTTTTCTCCCATTGCGAGCGAACGAGAGAGAGAGAGAGAGAGAGAGAGAGAGAGAGACACAGTTTTACGGAAACATTTCTGTGAAGCGAGGTTAGAAGAGAAATAAAGAATGAAAGGAAGGAAAGAACAATGTCCTTTCAGTCGTTCGTTCAACCGTGCGCGTATGAAAAGGAAATGGAGGATGGTAAAAGAGCAGAGGTTATGCGCCCTCTATCGCTAATTTTTCGTATTTATCTTATCCATCCTTCCTTACGTCTTTGTGAATTTTCTTCGTTTATTTTCCTGTTTATTCTATGCCCTCCTTTTTATGTCTCTTTTTTATGTTTACGACATTTTTATTGTTGTTTCAGTACAAATGTTACGTTAAATTGTTAGATTGTTAAATTAATTTTAATCAAATTCTATGCTTGTTTGTGCGTTTTAAATTTGAACAAATGAAATAATAGATAAATTAATTATCAATACGTAATATCTATGAATATTATTTATCCAGTTAATAATATCATATTTATTGATTATTAAAATTATTAAAATTTTCTTGATAACTTTTTTTTTAAAACTTTCTAAAATTTTGAAATTTTAAAAAAATAATTATTTTCTTGCTTCTGAATGTTTAATGATCTTCTATCAAAAAATCATTTCGACGTCCAAACGCACTTTTTACGATGAAAAAAATCAGTATTACCCTCTGTAAGACGGCCATTTCGTTTGGCTGTAAAGTGATGAAGTATTTTTTAATACGTTTGAAACATCTGTGCACATCGTTGCTCTGTAGAATTTTGTATCGATATATATATATATATATAAGTGGTGACTTTATTGGGCAACATCCCTTTACAGTTTTCTACCCTCTCTAATTAAAAACTACGATACCGTGCTTTGTACGATTTCATTTTTGCCTCTTCCATTCTTTCTACTTTCTTTTAATCTCGCGTGTCCCTATTTCATGCCTTTCTAAACAAAGAAAATTTTTTATTTAAAAAAAAAACCGACCCTCTTATTCGTCGAAAATTTTTCTTCTCAAGATGAATTCTTGCGTTTCAATTCCAAATTAATATGTGTATACACCGACACGAATAATTCAACCTTTCCTTGAGCCTCGTGCCTTGAACTTCATCGATGCTTCAAAAATTTCAATTACAGCTTCTGGCTACGATAATTCACCAAATTCTAAAAAAAAAAATTTGAGTAAGAATTTTTGGATTTATCTATTGAAAACTTCTTTCTCAAAAATTATACATACCTATACAATTATCATGCTTGGATCTCCAAAGGTAAAAAATTTAAATTAATGAAAAATAAAAATAAAAGTTCTAAAAAAAAAAAAATTGGATCTATCTATTGAAAACTTCCTTCTCAAAAATTATACATACCTGTACAATTATCAAGCTCCAGAAGTAAAAAATTTAAATTAGGATAGTGAAAGATAAAAATGGAAGTTCTAAAAAAAAAAATTCGAGTAATTTTTGGATCTATCTATTAAAAACTTCCTTTTCAAAAATTATACATACCTGTACAATTATCATGCTTGGATCTCCAAAGGTAAAAAATTTAAATTAGTGAAAAATAAAAGTAAAAGTTCTAAAAAAAAAAAATTGGATCTATATATACAATTATCATGCTTGGATTTCCAAAAGTAAAAAATTTAAATTAGTGAAAAAGATAAAAATGGAAGTTCTAAAAAAAAAAATTTGAGTAAGAATTTTTGAATCTATCTATTGAAAACTTCCTTCTCAAAAATTATACATACCTATACAATTATCAAGCTCCAGAAGTAAAAAATTTAAATTAGGATAGTGAAAGATAAGAATGGAAGTTCTAAAAAAAAAAAAAAATTCGAGTAATTTTGGATCTATTGAAAACTTCCTTCTAAAAAATTATACATACCTGTACAATTATCAAGCTCCAGAAGTGAAAAATTTAAATTAGGATAGTGAAAGATAAAAATGGAATTTCTTTTTTCTAGTTCCAGGATGAACGCTACGACTTACACGAGCAGCACGTTGGCTGGAATTATGGGGCTCGAGTCAAGGATGGATAAGGCGGGGAGCGTGGACAGCGACCTTGATATTTCCCCGGTCACACTGTCCTCCGCGTGGTCCAGGGTGGCGAGGCTCCTCTTGTTGGCGTCGATGGCTGTCGGTGGCAGCGTTGGCAACGTCTTCATGATCTCCGCCGTGGTGGTCGAGGATCAACTTAAGAAACGAGGTAACGAAACCATCCACTTTTCGTTTCTTCTTCGGATTAATTATTAACTTTCCCCTTTTCCCAACAAATATACAAAGTAATTTCTATAAAATTGCTTGAAATATCACAATCCATTTCTTATCCTTACGGAAGAAAAGAAATAATAATAATAATAATAATAAATACTTTCGTTATAAAAACACGCAGGATCTCGTAGGAAAAGAAGTTCATGTACAGTTTAAAATCCTGGTTCTAAACATTCCCTTCCTTGGGTTGCGAGAATTTCGCGTGTATCGCATATATTTATATCCCCTGGAACAGAGGGGGAGCTTCGAAGGAAACCGATCTTCCACGGAAGACAGTCATCCGACGCTCTTTTGTGAAATCCACCCTTTTTTTACCTCTCGTTGCGGAAAGATCCTTTCGCTTGCTCCCGTGTGTAAAATGACAAAAGCCTGCCACGATTGGATATGAGGACGCCAAGGATAATAGAAGGAAGGGAGGAAGGAAGGAAACGCTCTTTGAGTCCCTCTATTTTTGTCTACCCGAGGTAGCCGATATATCTCTCTTCTCGTATTTATTCAACCGAGGGGGAAGGGGCCATTACGATAACAGATATCGAGAATTTTCTTGAAATTTTCTTCGAAACGTTTGTTCGAAAGGGCATCGATGTTAGAAATATAGGGAGAGACGTGTATCGAGCACGAATGATTAAAGAGAAAGGCGTTTAATATGTATTTTTATTTATATGAACAATGTTTTGTGAAATTTAGAAAGGTGGAAGAGTGATAAACGAGTAGAAGATATAAATAGATATAAATATACGATTATTATATTTCTAATAGTTAATTTAATGATTCGATTGTTAATCAATAAGGAAAAAAATTAAATTTTCCAATTCCTGATTTTCGTCTTATTTTCTCTTAAAGAATCGTAGTAGAGGATTATTGTGTTTCACATTATATTATATTAATAAAATGTTCGAAAGACAGGAAATTATAGGAAAAGGATTAATAATTACAAAATAATTACATAAATAAAAATATATAAATAGATATTAATATACGGGTATATTAAGTTCTAGTAGTTAATGGTCTCGTGGCGCTAGTGTCGCGTGACAGTAAGATATCTATTAATTTGAAAATTTTCCATGAACTGAATATAAATATCGATAGTTTATGATATGTATTTGTATGAAATATTCATTTAATCCATAATAAAGAACTTTCAATTGATTGTACATCGGATATAATAATGGAAAAAATTAAATTTTCCAATTCCTGATTTTCGTCTTATTTTTTTTCTTAAAGAATGGTCTCGTAAATTCTTCGATCAAATCTTCGAGATAAAACGGTCTAAAAAGAGTAGTTACACTAGGTATATTTCCACTCGAGCGTCGAATATCGATTCCTCGTAAGATGCTACATGTAACGTGGAACAATCCGAATCGAAATAATCGGAATATTTAATCTCCTATCCGGGTTTAACGTTCATGCCAAACCAACTGTAAACGACAATTTTTACGACACGTGGAAATAATATCTCGAGTCGTAAACGATTCGACTTTACAACGTGCAACGTCATTTATATCTTTCTCTTTTCGGTTTAATTCAATGACAACAAGATCGTAATTGATCATTACGATTCGTAAATTACATCGAGCAACGATTATTACGACAATCACCCTCAAAATTACTTTTTTACGACTCTACAACGAATAAACGTTTGAAAAATTTTTGTCTCTCTCTCTCTTTCGTATCGAAATTATTTTTAATTCGTTTCAAATAATTTTTTCGCTATTAAACGAATTTCAAAAATTCCCCCCCTCCTTTTTCTTTCGAGCAAACTTTCCACGAGAGATATTTTCATTCGAAAGATCCCTTTACAGGTAATTCATTTTCCGTAAATCTTGATACGGACGTAAATAATTCCGAGCTCCGTGCACTGGGGGCGATTCAGCAGGAAAATTTCGTTTCCAGTGTTACCTCGCCAATAAACTTCCCCCTTACATAACTGTTCAACCTTTTTCACCAACACAATCGTGATCACCGGCCTCCTCCTTGTAAGTAAAGGGAAGGATATATATCCGACTGTGTGCAACCATTTCGTGATTCCAGCGTGACAATAGCGATACAGGTCGTTTCACAAACTTGGAAAAGTTCTTTTTTTTTCCGAATTGGGAAGAATTTCTTTCCTTTTCTTCTCTTTTCTGTTATTCAAATTCACTTGTCCCTGATAAATAAATAAATAAATTGAAAACGAAGAAATGGATTTTATTTTTATCAATATCGTTATTACTATTATTTATTTTAAATTATGGTATTATGGTATTAAGAGAAATTATTTTAAAATTGTCAACAATGAATATAATGATTGAAATCAATGATCGATATCGAGGATTGATAATAGCCGAAAAATCGAACAATTCGAGGAAAAGAATTTTCAATTTGTGAAACATCCTGTACATTCGCCACGCGTAATAATAAGGAAGAGTCCAAGTTTCCCTGCTGATAATCTTACTTTCATCGACTTCTTTTATTTCTTACCGTCCAATCTCACGTGCCACGACGCGACTTTATTCAAATTGATCGATATCCTTGGTAAATTTATTCTGTAATTCGACACGAGAACGAACACATCTGTTCCGATCGAAAATAATAGCTCTTATCAAAACAGGATATCGTCTATTCTCTCATATTCTATCCATTTAAAGAACTGTATACGATTTATCCACACCCGATAAACGTTTGTTACAAATTACTGTTATAACATTTACAAAAATTGCTTTCGCAAACATTTGAGAAGTGATGTATACACTCTATGTATAGACATCTTCCTTACCGATCGATAATAATCTTAAAATGACGAAAACATCGCCATTCATTTCTCTCAAGAATTCGAAAGATATATAATATATAAAATATCTCGTCGAAATAACCAACACGATTTTTATGCTACCTTTCATTAGCTTCGTTATAAACGAAGCCAATGAAATTAAAGCTCGTTTAAAAGAGAGAAACTGAAGTAGGCTCGACTCGAGCGCCCCCGAATTGAATTTATTTCAATTCCCAATTTATTTCACGATCATCCCGTTTTGCCAAATAGCACGCGAACACGCAATGAAACGTACCGCAGATATTATCGATGATCTCACCACTCGAAAACTCGCGACACGAAAGTTATTAAACGCTTAAATTTGCTTGTAAATTAACCGTACGACGATCGAACGCGAAAATTCCACATTGCGATGAAGTGGCGCTCGAACGAGAATTTTATGACGAGATAAAGTCGGCCGAATGTATAGCCTCCAACTTCATTAATTCGAGTTTGTAAATTTACGGGAATATTAAGTTCATTAGCGGACGGCAATAATTCGAATCATTAACACGTGAGGCATTAATAGATCTGTTATTGGATTAGGCAAGTTAATGAGAAATTAGGTTAGGAACGATTCGATTCGTTTCCTCGATAAAGTACAACGCATTAAGACTCTATTTCATGAAACGTCGATAATCGTACCACATCTTGCGTTTCGACGGAGAGAAAATATCGATTCGTATACGAATTTGAGAAAAAATTGTTTGACTAACATGCATATACACACATCCTTTTTTTTTATCTTATATTTTATCAAAGATATTTTATTTACAGCGAAAGAGGCTTCGTTTCTCGATTATTGATTTTTCGATATTTTCATCTTTCATCTTTTTTATATTTACGTCGAATCAAATCACTCATTCCATACGAATACATACAAATTGCAATCTTTCTATTAATTCACAATCGATCTCGACTATAATTCGTGGCAATTATATATTCTGTTCCAGGGAACGCGTTTCTAGTGAACGTCGCGTTGGCGGATCTACTAGTGACAGGGCTCGTGATACCTGTGTCGGTGATCGTGATCCTGGCGGGTCATGAAGAGTCGTTGAGCACATGCCGATTCGAATGCACTCTGGAGGCCCTCTGCTTTCTGGTTACCGTACTAACGTTAACCACCATTGCCGCGGAGAATTACACTCGTTTGTGTCTGCCTCACGAAAGGTAAGAGCTCGTAACTCGTTTTTATCATTGATGACGAAACCTTTGATCAATTTCAACGATGTTTAATAATAATAATAATAATAATAATAATAATAATAATAATAATAATAATAATAATAATCACGAGCAAGATACTCGAGGCGGAAAAATTACCGATGTAATTAGATTTCAAGGATGGAAGAATTTTATGCGGAATTTGATAATTGAAAAAAAGGGGACGGTGTGAATATTTTATATTATAAATAATTAATATCTTCAAGGGTGAAAGAAAAAGTTTCTACGTGGAATTTGATAATCGAAGGAAAGTGGACGAAGAATATTATGAATTCTTTTTTTTTTTTTTTTTTTTTTTCTTTTTTTAATTTTGCGTTATTACATTTTAATGAAAATTCGCGATGTTTTATATACAGGAGGTGTGCGAGGAGAAAAGGTGAAAAATGAATAATTCTTTGATTACATGCACATAATAAGAAAAGAAAAGGAGTTTAAAGGTAACGGTATGGATGAACGAATAATTTCCTTTTTTTTTTTTTTTTGGTAACTTAAATTGAGAACGATTTTCAATTTTTGCTTCTATATTTGCTTCGTTTCGTTTGAAAAATTACGTAATATATATAAATATATATATATATATCTACATATGTATCTCCCCCTTTCCATAATTTTTAGAAATTTAATTATTTTTTTCTATCTTTCTCACTCGAAAAAGTAGCTATGATCGAAAAATTAAAATAGATCCTCGACTTTAAACGATTCTAATTAACCCTTAAAAAAATAAAAAGCAATCCCTCTTAACGTAATTGCAATTTAATTAATCATCAACGATTATCACTATTTGAAACACGATGAAAACACCTATCCATAACGAATCAGTATTCTCAAAATATATAATTTCAATTTTGTCTTTTTTATTATAGTGTGTAATTTCAGGTTTTTAATTTTTTTTTTTTTTTTTAATATCTAGAAAGATATTATAGTGAATTTAGAAAACCTGAGAAAGCCTGTTTAGAATTTCGAATTGAACTATTTAGAAATCATTATTTACGAGAGCAAAACACGCATTTTTTACTTTGATGCAAATTTAAATTTAGATGAAAAGAAAAGTAAATAATAGCAAGTTGCATGCGAAGCATTTCTCCCTCCTCCCTTTTCTTTTCTTTTCTTTTTTTTTTTTTTTGCACTGATTATTTATTAGACATTCAATTTTCACTTTTTGTCGAATATTTATTCTCATTATATATATATATATTGCAAATAGCTGCGCAAAATAGAAACGCAATTAGTAACAGGCACGAAATAATTATCCCAAACAAATCGTAATGGCATCCACGATTATTTAATTAATTACCATAAACGTTATATCCTTCCTTTTTAAATGCAATTTCTCTATTGGAAAATATCATAAACATATATTTTCAGAAACGTTTCATTAAATTTTTAATAATTAAACAAACTTGGACGATTTTGATAAATTGTTGTTTCTCGAGTATTCCATGTAAGAGAAAAAATCGTGGACACCATCTTTTACCCTTTGCTTAGAATTTGATTTTTCACGTTTTTCAAAAAAGGAAAAAAAAAAAAATGTCCGAGCAATGAACGCAGAGCTTACAGAGTTGATCGAACATGTAGAATCGAAAAGGGATGAAAGATTTGTTTAAAGGAAAAAAACTTTATTTTCCTTAGGTTAGAGAGGAATGCAGCGATTGTTTCGATGCATTCGCTTCACCTTTCGCTTCGCCAAACAGAGTGAGTCTGTTGCAATTTCGAGTGCCTATTGTTGGCAACGGCAGAACGATCACAAGGGATTAAAGTGGTTTTCCAGTGAAGCTTGAAAAACCTGCACGTACCGCCATCGTTACCGAGATCTACGAGAAATACAGTTGCATGCACTCGCTTTAAAGATAGGAGGGGATAGATGCACGATCCTTTTCAAAGTGTCGTGGGAGAAATATTCGTAGAGAGAGAGAGAGAGAGAGAGGAAAAAAAAGAAAAAATATTTGAAATTTTAGCGCAGAAATTTAGGGAAGAATTTACAATCCTTCGAATTTATGCAGAATGTTCGGCTGGATAGATTTAGTGAAGTTGAAGATAACAATTTTATGAATTTTAATATTTGTTTTGAGATATTTAATTCATCGAAGATGATTAAGAATGGTTAAAAATTTTGTTCGAAAAATTTATTTATTTCCTAGTTATTTGAAGATGCAAAATATCCCTAGTTGTTCGCACCGTAAATGTAAAAAGTACTGAAATGAAATATTTTTATTTTCAATTTTCGTTTTATTTTACTTTGAACAAATTTTTGAATATTTTCCATATAATTTTTAATCTTCAAAAACACGCATTTTCTGTATTTAAAATGTAGCTCCTTTATTCTTCGCTACTAACGAGTTAACGATCGACGAAAATATCTCTAGATCACTCATGCCAACTAATTGAAAAAAGAACTAGATTATAATAGTTACAAAACAAAGCTTCGAACGAAACTTTTTTTATTCTTCATTTTCGTTCTTATTTTATTTAAAATGTTTGAATAGTTTTAATCGTCGATAATTTAAAAAAAAAAAAATACTAAAAATCTTAAACGCATAGTCGAACATCCTGCACATCTAACAGAAATGAAACAGAATGATGATTTTTTCCAAACGTTCGTTGCTACAAATATGATACCCTAGAGAAAAATACCCTAGACTTGTGCATCGTTTTTCTATCGCAATTTCTCGGAGTAGGGGAAAAAACGGCTTTCACTTTGAATGGAAGTCTCTTGAATACACTTCTCGTCCATGAAATTCCACGATATTGTTAAACTTGAATTTTTAGAAAGAATGAAAATTTTTTTTTTTTTTTGTTTTCCAACGTGCTGAGTGGAAGTTGGACTCGATAACGATTTTTTATTTATTTATTTTTTTTTTTCACAATAAGTACACGTAAATTCTGCTTGATCAGGTTTTATGAAGATCTGGCTTTGATAGATTTACGATATTTCTTTTAAGGTAGATAAATTATAGTACTATCGTGGGGAGGGAACAATGTTTGAGAACTCGTGCAGCGTGCTCAGCAATTCGTTCCTTGCCCCTGTCGTCGTCCACGTTTCAAACTAATATCGTGATAAATCACGTATCCACCATGTGAATAAAGGAAACGAAGTGGTTTTCTTTTTGTCTCTGCAAATATTAAACAAGATAATTTTCCATACATCATTCGATGAAAGCTATTGGATTTTTTTTTTTTCCTTTCTTCTATGGAATATTATTTTCTCGAGTTCGAGGGGAAGAGGGATTTTCTGTGCGGGATAAATGCGGATTGTGTTCGTTAATTGAAATGGAATGGAAAATGTTTTAGAGAAATTTTATCAATAATTCAAAATTAACACCAAGATTTGTATGAAACACAAGATTAATATTTTTCGTGTTCAGAAGAAATTATGGAAGCATGTTCCATTTCACAGAAGGTGCAATTGCATTTGTCTCTTCAACTCTGAAATTTTCAACATTAAAAATTTTCTAACATTCACAAAGGATATTCGCTCACCATTATGGGATATAAAATTCACGTATTTTTAATTTGATCAAAATTCTCAATATTGAAAAAGTTTGTTCTCCGCCAATGGGATAACATTTATCCGAAAAATACGTGCGTGTGTTTCATTATCGTCGATAAATTATCGAACCGAGAAACGGATTTGGTCGAATCACGCCCGGATGGTATTCCCAGCAATGCCATGTCCCGGATCTCTTTTGACACTTTGACTTTGATGTGGATCCGCTTTGTGTAGAGCCCTACCAGTGTCACGATTGAGTTCCTAATTTCACATTCTACGCGGCCCAAACTCCGTGAAATTCGTGGCCTTCCGAGTTTTGGAACCCGTATCTATTCCAATATATTCAGACACAAAGCTCCTTGTATTAGATAAGTACCTTATTCCTAATCGATTGGCAAAATACTTGAAATTCCAAGAATAATTGGCCGTGTTCCGCGACAAAGCTCTCCGCATTCTTGTTTCAATTGTTATCGAGCATTTGTACGAGTGTAACGCTTGTTATTATTCTTAATTATAATTAACATTTTACATTTTTTTCCTTTCTATTTATTGGAATTTCACTGTGTAGATGTTTAAGGAGTGATTTTTCAGCAGCAAGATAAGAAGAAAGTCAAGAAAAAATTGAGTTTGAGGAATCTAGGGATATTTTTCTTTGAGCTTTATTTTATTTTGATGTGGAGAATTATTTGGTGTCTTTTTTAGATCTAATTCCCTCCAAGTGATTAGATAAGAAAATATGCATTTCAAATTATAATTAAAATAATTGAGACTGAATATCCCACGATTCACATCTCTAAGAAACTAAGGATTTGGAATCCTAGATTGCAAAAAATATTTTACAAAAGATCTACTGTATCTAGGAAAATTAATCTGAAGATATTCACCATAAATTTAATCTACGATATATTACTCTTATAACCATGTTTATTTATATCTAGGAAATTATATTAGATCTAGGCTAGGGGAAAATTCACAAAAGATCTATTGTACTTAAAGATGTTCAACATAAATTTGATTAAAATCTACAATAATTGTAAGGAGAATAGCTTGATTCTCACGATTACGTTCACCTACACAACCAAACCATTTATTAAAATATACAATCCTAANTTAAAGATATTTAACATAAATTTGATTAAAATCTACAATAATTGTAAGGAGAATGGCTTGATTCTCATAATTACGTTCACCTACACAACCAAACCATTTATTAAAATATACAATCCTAAAAGAAGCTTGATCACTATCATACACAACCTAGTTACCTATTAAAACTTTTACTTGTATCATATCTCCAGATATTTCAACTACTTGCCAAAATATATTTCTTGAAAAAACACGTAATCCTTCTTTCAAAAATCACCAGCATCGTTTCACTCTAATCACATCTGTCCCACACTTGCAGGTACACCATTGTTTGATTTCAACTCCAAGCCACCAATAACATCCAAACCACCTTAAAATCCCTTCTTCTCTCAAAAATCCTCGTTTTCATCACATCTATTCCACTTGCAGATACGACGTGCTGACCCCAAGCCGCGTCACAGCGACGATCATCAGCGTTTGGCTGATATCCGCCATGACAGTTGTGTTGCAATCATCCCTGGACGTAGGTCCCGACTTCTGCCGGCGACGTTTCACCGGTATAGCAATGGAGCAGATAATAGGCGCCACGTTCCTAGTAGGGCTGCCAACATTGACGACCATATTCCTCTACGTGAAGCTCGTGATCCGCGTCCGCCACGCCACAAGGGGCTCGTACAAGCCACCTATCGCATTCTCCTGGGACTACGAGCTAGCCAAGGCCAACATATACAGTTGCGTCATGTTCGTCGTGTTCTGGCTGCCTTTCGGCATAGTCGTGTGCCTCAACTCGTTCAAACCGATAAGCCCACGTGTCCTGTACAACCTGGCCTGGTTCGCCCTCTCCAAATCCTGTTTCAACAATCTGATCTACTGCGTGGCGGACAGGCACTTCAGAAGCGCGTACGTCAAGCTTTTCCATTATTGCTGCTGCAAAACAACGGTGAGTTTTTCGAGGAGGACGCGTGGGGAGGGGGGCCGGAACACTAGCGACGTGCGCCTCAGAGTTCACATTATACACTCGTACGCGAGTCCTGGCTCTTGTCGGCCACCTGTCGGCAGGCCTAACGGGCGTGACGTTTACGAGCTTTGAATTCGACGAAATCACGATGTGTTTGAGACATGGATGTATCTTAAAAGGTATCAACGATCGCCGTCCAGTAGAGAGATTGATTATATTTCGGTTTGTCGTGTCGACGAGATATTCCCGTGATCGGCTAGGTTGTTCTTCGGTGTTGTAATTGAGATTCGAATTTATTTATTTATTTTATCTTTAGGATGCGTTGAGGATTGAAGGGTTCATAGGGAAGACTATTCTTATGATGCTTTTTGGCATGCAGAATGTTGATTCTTGAAATACTTTGAAACAATATTCTTTAGTTGCATATTGGTTGAAACTTATTTGTTTAATTGTTATGAACACTTTTAATTCGCATGAAAGAAAGCTTTGTCCAATGAAAACTTTAATTGCTTGTAATCAATAAATTTCAAGTTTGCATATATAATTATTTTCCTAGACAATTCTGGATTAACTTTAGCTTTATTCAGAATATAGTTTTGATTTTTTTTATATCAAGTAGATAGAGTGAGTCAAGAATTCTTTAAAGGAAGAGTCAAGCATTCTTATTGAATATTTTGTTAAGGGAAAAAATTGGAGATTCCAGAATACTTTTTTGGAAAAAGAACAAAATTTTTAAGGATAGTTTTTATTATAACCCTTTAATTTTCGAAGATAGGAAAAATCAAAGAAATTTTAATACAGGAGAACCTTTATTATCTGAAGTATAACAAGATATCATTGGAAAAATAGTTTATTATTTATGTTCGTTATATTTTCACTGCTTCAAAGCTACATCTTATTCTGTTATATAGACAAAATTAAATTCTTACCAAATTATGTACATACATAAATGTCATGATTAACATTGTAGATATGATATTCTCGTTTTAAATAGCACACTGATTTAATTAAATGTTCAGACATTCGGATAACAGACGTTCTACTGTATCATTCCATTCTCTTATGTTCCTCTAATCTTCGATTAATTGACATATTAATATGTCTTTTATAATTGTTAATTAATATTCATTTAAGAATACATAGAGTACGGTCAGCAGTAAATCTTCATTGCAATGGCAAGAAGATTATGACCATATTCTATATTTCTCGATAAATCCTTTTAATTTTTATTATAAATATTAAAAAAGAATGAAAAAGAATAACAAAATAATAATACTACTCATTATTTTGGTACTACTAACAAAGTTTAATTTAATCTTCTATTTTGGACATATACAGAATATTTAACTACAAATGTTCAAAAATTTTTCAAAGCAAAATAATGAAAATTAAAAATAAAAATATTGTTTTCTTTCTTTGCTTTGTAATATTATTCGCCATTTTCAATCAATTTTATTTCTAATTTTCTTTATTTTGCAAGAATTAATTTTGGAATTATCTATAGCCAAATATTCTGAACAAATTTTGTCCAATAGCCTGGCAAAAGTCAGACTACTCGTCTAGCATCGAGCATCGAAGGAATGTAAGTAGGATATTGACACTGAAACAGGAAATCGCCGTCCATTGGGAATTTTATCCTGTTGTCGTTCCGATACTAACGGATGTTTCCATCTTTCGGTCTGTATTCTTCCACTTTTTATTCTTCCAAGAATCGTTTTACGATATAGTTACATATCCCGAAAAAAAAAAAAAAAAACGTTCGTCTGCTGTTCAAATAATAATTATCGTGGCCTTTTGCGATTGGTAAGATTTTTATTAATGATATCCATAAGACGTTCCACGTCTTATATATATATAAATAAATAGTTATTCGTTGTAATTGCCCTATTTAATATTAAAATTATCATAAATTTTTATAGCGATATCTACAGCCTGTACAACTCGTTAATTGCTATTAATTTCTAAATTATTACGCAAGATGGCCACGGTATCGACTCGACTCCTAGGTAAGTACACACACAGATCGGTTATTTAATTTCGTGTATCGATTTACAAAGTAGAATTTCTATTTTTTTTACGAGTGTTTCGTTAGCGTTAGTTCGTTTCCATGTGTCGAATATTCGAGAGAGTAGGAATCGAGATTCATGAATGGATTTAGCTTTAAGACACTATTCTATGGTTTGGACGATGCAAAGGTACTAACACTGTGTGACAAAAGTTACTAGAAAACTTCTAGTTCCTTTCTGCAGTATTCAGTTACGCGTAATGATTTCAGCCATTTTCGTGTGAATCATAGAAAGACGTGAGATAAATCGAAGAAAATTAGTTATCTTTATTTTTTTCAATTAAATAAATACGTTTATCACGCTTTTGACGTATAAAGTAAAACAACAAGTAGTTAATATACTTTCATTTTACTTTTTCACGAAATTAAAAGAATTATTTATTTCAACGAATTTTAAAATCCATCGTTCGAAAGTTATTAAAAAATTGAGTAATTGAGTTTTTTGAAATATTTGCCGTCTATTTACATTCCAAAAAAAAAAAAAAAAAAAAAAAAAAATTAAAAATCAAAAGATATAATCATAAACGTGATTATACAAAAATTTTTTCCTCGATTTCGCTTGGGAGGAAAAATTTGATACCTTGTTTTATTAAATTTTGCGAACAACGTTTAAACGTTTGATTTATACAAGGGAACGGAAGAATTTAATTACCGAATACTTTGCTACGATTAAATTCGTTCGAGTTACGCAATCTATTCGTATTTAACGCTCGAAGCTAATCGAGGAAAAGTTTTTCCCATCTGAAGATCTGACAGTTCGAAACTTCGTAAGTTTACGAGTTAATTTAGCCGAAAAGTTCTTTTATCGAGCAACCAGGTCCTTGTACTTTTAACTTTACTCCTTTAATCGACATTTATCCCGCCCACATTAATTATTCCAATTCGCAAATTTTTATTGCCACCGTGTAAAACGATTTTATTATCTTTTTTTTTTTTTTTTTTTTTTTTAGAAAATGAAAAAATTAAGAAGTTATGGAATATTCAACATATTTTTTTCATTATATTCGATTCTTATTTCATTTTCTTTTTTCCTGAAGATGAAATTCTATTTTATCATTACATCATCCGTTAACTTTCCTCGCATTTTTTAATAAAAAATTTTCTATGTATAATACGATTGACAACAAAAAAAACTTCATTCTTTGGACGAACGTTTTAATTTTAATTCTCATTCTCATTTAAAATATTATCCAAACATTCGCTTCGAAAGTATAAAAAAAAAGAAAAAAAAANAAAAAAGAAAAAAAAAAAAAAAATCTCACGATAAAGACTGGATCGATCGAAAGAGCATTTTTCAAAATAATCGGGATGTCGCGGGGATTAGAAATTAGAAATTCAAAGTCGTCAATGGATTTTTATGCAAAATTTTTAAACGATGGATATTATAAAAGAAATGGAGAGATTCGCTTTATTTTCAAGTGTCAAATCATCAATGCAAATATTTACAAATTTTTGCATTGATATTCGCAGTTTAATTATTACATTGCAAAGATGGAGAAATAAGAATTCTTATTGGGGAAAAGGAAACGCGACTGAATTAATTAATATCGTATTTAATAGATTAACGTCAGATACATATATATATATATATATATATAAATGGGAATGGGAAACAAGAATAAAGTTAAATATTATATTATAACGGTTCCAATGTTATAAAGGGCAGAAATTTACATGTTACTCGTTCTTATGATATACTATAAATATATATATAAAATATAACTAAAATATTATTATATCATTGATTCTGATTGTAAGAGGAAGTTGTTCGTGTCTTAACTGCAACTTATTCCACGACAAATTTCTCCATGTTAGTCTTATTTTTAATTATTATTTTTAATCATAATTACTTTAAATTCTGTTTACTTCGTTTCGTTTGAAACTTGAAGCTAAACTTGAAAATTGTCAAAATGATGAGTTTTTGTTTATTCCTCGTCTTTGCCAATTGAATTATAATAATATGATTATTATTTTACATTATGGATCTGAGCAATTGACAACAGTTACTTTTTTTATGTATATTATGTATCCAAGATTTATTAAAAAAAATCACTTTCAATTGGATGATTAATTTATTATTTTTGAGAAATTTGTCGTTTTCCACGGTAAGAAAAAGAATCGAAAAATATTCACACACGTTTCTTCTCGCATAAATACCAAATACTCTTAAGGATATTAAGTGTACTTTTTAATTTTCTTCGCTCGTGAAGAGTGAATCAAGAAAAACTTTTAAACGAAAATAATGAAACGCATTCGTTTGTACATAAATAGCTCATATAAGTATATAGCTCGTCCTCGTAATTCTATCATTATCGACCGAGAATCAACCGCAAATGGCGTATATCTTCTTGACTGTATCTATAATATATTGTATGTTACATGCCTTCTGTCAATCTGTGATCACACATTTTTAGGTATTGGATTGTTCAGCAGCAACGAGGCGTGTGTTACAGTTTCCAATTTTACGTAATCTCGCCAATTTCGAAAAAAAAAAAATTAAATAAATAAATAAAGATCGTTATTATTTCGCGAAATAGTGAAATTAATATCGATAAACATTCATCTCGAGGACCAAACTTTAGCATTTTACACTAGAATCTTATCGTACTTGATATATAAAAAACGGAAATTTTTAAAAATTTGATTATTTCTTCCTCGTTTAAAATCGCATATCCATTTTTTTCCAAAGTTATCTGAAAGTTTCGATGGAATTTTCGTTTCTAATGAATTTTGATCCACAGTTCATATATTGAATATATGAATTTAAAACAATATATATATATTTAAAGTTTTTATATACGATTGAAAGTAACGTCGTACTTGTTAGAATGATTTTACAAACGAGTAATTCACGAATAGAACATCTTTCGAAACAATGAAAATTCTAATATATTTACCTGAAAGTGGAAAAATCGGAAAATCGCAAATGGAAATCAAAAATGATCGAATCCGAAATAATGAAAAATTCTCCGTACCGTAATTTTCCAAAATCCCCTCGAAAATTGGAAATCGAGAGATTCAACCGAATGGAAAAATTCTGAAAAATTCTCGCGTCGATGGAGAAAATTACAGAGAGAAATTTCCGCGAGAGATCGTCGAAATCGTGGAAATCAATCTAAATCTTGACAATTCCAAGGAAATGGGCACAAAAGTGGTTTTGTGCGAGAAACACGGGCGGATGGGTGGAAAATTCCGATACACCCTCCCTCCTCCCCTCCCCCCCCTCCTCCTCCTCCTCCGCGGAGATTCTATGCAAAATTGGAAACTGACTGTTGAAACCGGCGCGCCCGACGGAAAGTTTCTCGCTGAAAGTTTTCTGAAAAATCGGATCGGTTTTCGACTGCGCGAGTACAAAACCGTCGGCCATGGCAACTTCATCGGAAGCGTCCGCCATCTAAGATCGGGATGTCGAGAATATCGAAAGAGGCGGGGAGGTGGAATAAGGAATAGCCGATGATGATAACACGTTTGAGAAATGGGACCAGGAAAAAGTTTGTTGTAACTACTTTTCCCC